GCAAGAGAACGCTGAGTATTTTCATGTATGTAAATAAACATATGCAAATCTGAATGTGTGACGTATGAATTTTGATGTCACACACATGCACACCCGTCTCCTACAGCCACAATACAAAGTATGTGTATTTTCTTTTAAGGCACAGACAACCAGATAATCACACACAAACACACGTACACACACTCACACACTTAGAGATTGCCCATTGCCATATGCAAAGTCTTGGAATATTTTTTGCTCTTTGAGCTCTTGTCATCGTCGTTCTCCTTTTCGTTCTCGGTATTTGTTGTTGTTATTGTTGTTGTTGCTGCTTTAAACGCGCCAGCGTCATCAAGTTTTATGAGCAATTACAACATCTGTTGAATATCGCAAAAGAGACGTACACACACACACACGCAGAGAATCACACACACGCACACACACACACACCCTCTCGTACACAGACGACAGAAAAATGAGAGCATCTCCATAGAAATCGCACATTTTTCTGTCTTTCGCTTGTCTTCCTCTTCTCGGCTTTTTTTTTTTTTTTTTGTTCATTCACTAGGCAATACAAAGCGCCAAACAGATAAAATAGAAGACAAGCAAAGGAAAGAGGCTAGGGGGGATGGCGGTAAAGGGCATGTTAGGGCAGATGAGGGTACAATGTGAAATGCGAATGCTCAAGTCTAAGGGCAGTCGAACAGCAACAACAACAACAACAATGACAATAACAATAGGCACTTGGCATTGAACTTAGGCGCAGTTCTTTTGTATGTCCTCTCTCTCTCTCTCTCTCTCTATCACTCTCATTGCTGATATACCCCTTCATTCTTACCCACTGGGGCTACTCCTGATTCGTGATTGAGCTATTGAATTAACATTTGCAATGATTTACCAAACAACATTTGATAATGATGCCAAAAAAAGGAAGGCGAAATAAGAAGAAGCAGAGCAAGTAGATGGAAAAAAGTACACACAAGAATGTGGGCGTGACATTAAATCATGGGGGCTGGCTGACACACAGCAGCGTGTCGAGTTTAAGCGTATATGTAGATATAGAAATACATATATATGCATGTGTATGTATGTATCTTGATTTCAATGGGGAATATCAATTTCAATATAAATGTCTTGATTGAAGATGGTTTTCCATGTTTGCGGTGACGAATTTAAATTGAACTCCTATATAATATAATAAAAAGTGAAGCTTAAAATGAATCAAAGCATATTTAAGACATTTGATGGAGCCTTTTCTATAAATCATAAATTATTTGCAGCTCTAAGCAGGTTCAATTTCTCTGGCTGCATTTCATCGTTAAGAAATAGGGCTTTAAATCATAAATTATTTGGAAACAGCTTCATTGTCTATATTTGGGCAGGCTTAAATTTTGGCTAGACATATAATTTGGCTAGACATACATACATATTATTATATACATACATATATTATGTAAATATTTCGAAGATGAATTTAATTTGAGCATTTTAAGGAAACTGTTGAAAAACGAATCAAACTTAAGACTTACTTCATAAAAGTAAATTCTTTCAAGTTTTAAACATAGATAGAACACATAATATTTTAAATTGCTTAGAAGACTAAAAGATATGATAAAATAAATTCAAAAAAATTTAAAGAAATTTATACTACATGAAGAAAAGTTTAAATATGTGTATATAAGAAAAGAAAAATAAATATTTTTATATAAAAATATAAAAATTTAGGTAAATTTAATTGAAACTAAGAGTAAACATGGATAAATTTATCTATAAGCTGCAGTAACTTGCAGATATTTAATAGAGCTGGATCTACATGCTATATAGTAATATGCTTAATATTATTTTCCAATTTTTCAGTATTTTCTCAAAACCTCTCGGCAACCATTGCCAGCTTTTACTGTACTTTATGCACATGGTTAGCCAGCTGTGGCTCATGCCATAATGTTAATGAATTTTAATTTTAAAATACCAATCGTTCACAATGCTCAACGGTCGACACCTGGACGCATATTTCAGAGCTCCGCCCCTTATTTGATTACAGCTCAAGCTGAATCAAGCTCACAATCAATCAGAAATACAAATACGAAATGCGAATTCTCGAAATGCGTGTACAATGAGGGCGAAAATCTGTCAAAAAGTGGTAAATGAAACTCTTCAGATGTCACTGAGCCATAAAATTATGCGATAATTAATTCCTCATAAAAAAACGAACAGGAGAGCAACAGCAAATAGCGAAAGAGTGAGCCAGAGAGAGAGTGTGTGAGAGAGAGAGACAGACAAAAGGTAGATATAAGAAGAGCGGGTAGCGAGGCGTAAATTCTCAGTCGAGTGCATTGTTTGTGCGAGTCCTTAGCGCAGTTCGAACCCCGGTATGCTTCCGCAATTATGATTGTCCTTCGCCAGTCGCCTGGCCTGGATTCCTTATTTCGGGGCTCATTTGGCTGGGCATTTGAGCACATTTTTTCACATTTTTTTTTCCACAATTTTTGTGTTTTTTTGTTTTTTAATGCCTTTCTGTGGTCTTGTCTTTGGCTGGTCTTAATTAAAAAGCTGTACAAATTGCAAGGGGTAAGGACTGGCGGAAGGGTAGTGCTAGTGGATATTTAAAGCATTGCTGACTGCGAGTGCGAGTGCGACTGCGACAACCCCTAGCTAAAGGTTTTCATTTTTTTTTCTTCTTCCTCCTCTTCTTCCTTTCTGTGCCTGGCTAAAACAAAGAGCACACAGATTTCAATTGTTTGTCGGGCATTGTTGAGCGTGTTTCGAGTATATCTGGAAGCATGCGACGAGTATAAGTTCCATTGTCCTGACAAAAATGAAAAGCGCATTGAATGCATGCAAAAGCTGACGCCGAAGCTGAAGCTGAAGCCGAGGCTGATGCTGCTGAAGTTGTAGCTGGGGCCGCAGGCAAAGCAAAAGCCAAAGTGCTGAACCCAAAAGCTGAAGCACATGTGCTCTCTTTTAGCCAAGTACTTTGCCGCCGACTTTTATGCGGGGGGCGGCTAATTTGCCGGCTATGGGGGCGCACTTCAGCTGACAAGCAGTTACTTTAACTTGAGCCAGCTTAAGACGAGCCGACCGGGTAGCAGGGCGGGGGAAGATAGCCTCAGGTGGCAGCACTTTGTCGCGCACTTTACTGTAAAACTTCCGTTAATTAACGTTAATTTACTTGCAGGCCCGGAAGAGAATCTGAAGGCGAAAAACAAGTAAAAAAATATACAAATTCAATGAAAATGCATCCAAAAAAACTTTTGCCGGACAAATGCAGTTGCACAACTCTGGTTGCCTGACTTGACTGCAAGTTGCTAGAGTTGCCAGATCTATGGCTCTATTGTTGCCACACACAAAGGCTGTACGTGCATTCATATATGGCATAACGACGCCATTTTGAAATTTCTTTCTTATTTTTATACCCTGAACCCATTGAAAATGGGAAATCAGGGTATAATGGTTTTGTGAAAAAGTATGTAACGGGCAGAAGGAGGCGTGGCAGACCCCACAGAGTATATATATTCTTGATCAGCGCGACGAGCTGAGTCGATATAGCCCTGTCCGTCTGTCCGTCCGTCCGTCCGTCCGTATGAGTGCGTCGATCTCAGAAGTTATAAGAGCTAGAGAGCTGAAATTTGGCATGCATACTCGTGAGTACCATACGCAGTACGAGTTTGCTTTATTTTTTCGATAAATCGTCCGATAACTTTTTTATCGAGAATAATCGAAAAATTTATTTTGTTTTTTCAGCCTAATTTGAACATTTTTAGACCTGGAGTGTTCAAATTTAAGTTGTATATAAAGTTAATCGATACAAAGATTTTGTAATTTACAGATTTTGGATACCACGCCCCCTTCGCCCCAAATTTGTAAAAAACGCATTTCAAGTACTAGAGACTTGTGCTTTGGAATGTACACACATATTCATCATATGATTACACTCTGAAAGTTTCATTAAGATCTTATGTCTACAAAAGAAATTATTCAACAGATAAATTCTCATAATGTTGCCCACACTGCAGCGCAGCCCAAGCGCAGTCGCTGCTTACTGCGCAGTTAGTAGAGCGCAGGCTTATGCGAGCGTGTGGATGCACGTGTATGTATGTGTGCATAAAAGTGCAGAATGATTAGAATATCAGCTTAGAGGGTTCAGGGTATCTCCTAGTCGAGCAGTCTCGACTAGAGCCTTCTTACTTGTTTTATTTTATTTTGAGTTCAGTTTTTGCTTGTTTATTTTGCTTTTTATTTTTTTTTTAAGAGAACTTTTAACGCTGACTTTGGTACTGGCAAATTGTTGCAACAATGTGAATGGCTAAAAGTATGCAAAGACCGACTACGAAATACTCCCACATTAAGTTTGATATATGAGATTAAGAAATGAATATCATTGCTAAAATATACAAATTGCTTTGGCAATTTCTTAAGATTTTTTTTTAATAAATAAATTATTTTGAGTATATTTATATATATTTTCAGTTATATAAGTTTGAAATTTGTTGCAAATTTATTTATTTTATTTATTTATTTATTTATTTATTTATTTATTTATTTTATTTATTTATTTATGTAGTTTTTAAAAAGTTGTTTTAAGTATTTTTCACTATATTATATTAAGTTATTATTTTCTCTCTTTAGTTTTTGTATGTATTTATACTTATTATATATTCTCTATATATTTATTTATTAGTATTATCTATTATTTTCTAAAAGTTACTTAAACTTTGAACAGCTTGCCCTGATCATGTACACATCAGGATATATTTCCACTTCAGTATAAAACCATAAATACTCTTTTAATTCTACCATAAGCCAAAGAGTATTTCAATTTCAACACGCTTTGTTAGGGTATCCGGCAAAGCTGTCAAGTCATGTGCAGCTTGTGTGCTTTAAGCTGCATTCAAAGCCGGAGATTAAAAAATTACCCAATGTTGACAAAAGCCAAGGGAATACAAACGTGTGTGTGTGTGTGAGAGAGAGAGAGAGAGAGAGAAAGCGTATTGCTATATATATATGTATGTATGCATGTGTGTGTGGGTGTGTGTGCTCACTTTTATGTTTGTTTGGCTGCTGCTGATGCTGCTGCTACGGCTGATGCTGATGCTGTTCAATATGCGCAGCATGTTTCTGATGGAAATATGATTAAAGTCAAGGCGAAAACAAGCAGCAGCAGGAGCAGCAGGAGCAGCCGCAGCAGCAGAAGCGACCAGGACCTGAACGCAGAACGTGCCGCTGCTGCTGACCAAATATAGCGCAGCAGCGACGGACCAATGTGCAGGCATTATGCAAAGGCACGTGAAAAGTTGTTTGATGATTGTGCAGAGAGCGAGAAATCAACTGGAAAAAATACACAAAAACAAAAAGAAAGTCACAGATGAGAAATAACAGGCTAAGCATCTGGAGCTGCAGCTCCAGCTGCAGCAACAATTTCATGGACGTGCACTGTAACTGAGTGTTGGTAAACGCCATAAAGAAAATCAAACTAAAGCAGAGCAGGAAGAATAGTTGAGCTAAAGTTGTAAAAAGTCTTTGCTTTTTTTTTTGTTCGTGCTCGAATTTATTTTAGATTATGAATTTTGTTTAATATGCCAATAGTTGGCTGTACAAAAGGATACATTACAGGGCATGCTCTCTCTCCTCTCTCTCTCTCTCTCTCTCTCGCTCTGTCTTTTACTCTTTCCTTCACATACGTGCATTGCGGGGCGTGCAACTTTGTGGTCTTTTAAAAGATTGTTTGCATTATTTGTGGCTGCTTGCCCCTCCATCCCGCCACCCTTCTCCCTCGTCAATTTCCCCGTCCCGTTGGCCAAAAACATTTTCTGAGCTGTTAACAAAGTGAAACCGCACAGTTTGTTTCGCTAAAGTTTTGCAGAGCGAGAGAGAGAGAGAGAGAGAGAGAGAGAGAAAGAGAGCGCGCAAAAAACGATAACGGTATTTAGTTTGCATGAGCATCGGTTTTTAGGGTTTTTCGGTTTTTCGGTTTCAGTTGGGTTTTTGTGGGCGCTTTGCCTATTGTTGCTCTTGTTGTTGCTCTAAAGGATTAGCAACAGCAACAGGAGCAATAGCAGCAGCCGCACCAGCAGCAGAGGAAGCCAAAGCAGCGGCAGCCCTGTGATTATGCGTATGCCTGTTAAGCCTGAAGCTTAGAAAAGTTTGCCATATTTTTGATGGGTTTATAAAACAACAAGTACCAAAAACAAAATACGAAAAATATATATACTATATATTAGTTGGAGCAAAATATGTACATATATAGAGACACTCGAGCCATGCACAGCTTCACGAAGAAATATGTGCAAATTGATATGTATGTATATGCAATTTAATTGCAATGAGAAACAGAATTTTCTTTTGATTTTATTTGAGCCAATTTGAAGATTGAGTGCGGAATTTATTTTTTGCTCAGCGGTGGAGCTAAGGAAACTTTCTAGTTTATTTAAACTGTAAATATAGGAAACTTCTTGCAAATATTTTACCAAGTGCTGTAGTTAAGGTTGGCTTTACATATTTCATATATAAGCTGCTAAAATTAGTAGTAGTAGGTAATAGTAGTAGTAATAGTAGTAGGTAATAGTAGTAGTAATAGTAGTAGGTAGTACTACTACTACTAAGTAGATAATAGTAGTAGGTAGTAATAGTAGTAATAGTTTAAGGTAGTAGTAGTAGTAATAGTTGTAGGTAGTACTACTACTACTAAGTAGATAATAGTAGTAGGTAGTAATAGTAGTAATAGTTTAAGGTAGTAGTAGTAGTAATAGTTGTAGGTAGTACTACTACTACTAAGTAGATAATAGTAGTAGGTAGTACTACTACTACTAAGTAGATAATAGTAGTAGGTAGTACTACTACTACAAGTAGATAATAGTAGTAGGTAGTAATAGTAGTAATAGTTGTAGGTAGTAGTAGTAGTAATAGTTGTAGGTAGTAGTAGTAGTAATAGTTGTAGGTAGTAGTAGTAGTAATAGTTGGTAGTAGTAGTAGTAATAGTTATAGGTAGTAGTAGTAGTAATAGTTATAGGTAGTAGTAGTAGTAATAGTAGTAGGTAGTGGTAGTAGTACTACTACTACTAAGTAGATAATAGTAGTAGAAATAGTAGTATGTAATAGTAGTAGTGATAGTATTAGGTAATAGCAGTAGTAATAGAAGTAGTAATAGTAGTAGTAATAGTAGTAGGAGTAATATTAGTAACGTAGTTCAAGTTGTTTACATCTGCAACTAGTTTAATGAATTCTTCTACACATTTAGCTTATCAAAAACTCTCTACTTTCTCTACGTATTTCTTTGTATTTTTTCCCACAATATTTATTGAATTTCCATTAAATCCTATCCAAATATCAGACCCAAGACGCACTTGTGCTAGGGCTTAAGAACTGTTCGCAATTTATGTTTAGTGCAGTCAACAATTACAGTTAGTCACAGTTACATTAACTGCGACTGAAGGTATTAGGGCCGAAAACCAAAAAAACAACAGCACTCAACCACACACTTACACACACACACACACACATACTGTGAGGCACAACTAGAAGTCAAGTCAATTTTGTTGATGCGTGAAGCGATTTATGTTTAGTTCACGCATTTGCAGTGTTCATTTGCTGTTGTTGTTGTTGCGTCAGGATGTTGTTGTTGTTATTCTTGTTGCTGTCGTTTTTTGGCGGCTGCTGTAACGAGCAGCTAAATCGATTGTAACTAATTTGCGGCAGTCACGAGGCAAGCACTGATTTAGAAAATGCCAACGACTTGCCAAGGACGAGAACAAGGAGTTGCCCTGATAGCAGCCGAGGCAATCGAGCCGGGCATGGACCCAGACCCGGACCCGGGCAGAGCAATTCAGGCAGCGCAGGCAATGAAACGCGACACATTCCGTATTATTAAAATATTAAAGACAATTCAATAGGAAAATTGGCAGGCGAATAGACAGGCAGACAGACAGAAACAGCAAAAGTGGGAGCGAGCAAGAGAGGGCGAGTGAACTAGCTATGCTGTCAATGCATATATGTATGTGTATATATAGTAATTGAAATAAATGAGAACAGTTATATGTATGCATGCGCTCACAGCGAGTGAGTGAGAGCGTAAGAGTTGGCCAGAGTGAGATGGCGTAAGCGAGTGAGTTGAGGGGCTTGTTTAATAAATGATTTCCGCTGTATTTTCCAAGCCTCCCCCTGCCCAGCTACTGCTGCTACTCTATAACAAATGCAGCGTGGGCCTGCCTCCATAGAGCTCTAGAGCTATGCGTCTCTATGTGTATCTAAGGGCTTCGGTATCTGTATCTGTATCTGTATCTGCATGCGTCATGCGTTCAGATTAGACTCGTTGTTCGTGACTGCCAACAATTGGCAAACGCACACACAAACACACGCATGCACACACACACACATAGAATCACTCACACACTCGTTCGCTAACCAAATCAGTGCGTGTAGTATCTTTGTATCTGTAGCTATGCACAGATGTATCTATATAGCTGCGACAATGAGCACACATTGTTGCTGGTTTGGGTAGCATTTTTCTCTCTTCTTCTTCTTCTTTTTTTTTTTTTTTGTGTGTGTTGTTTGTGCGGGTGCATGTCTTCTCATTTCATTATCGAAAATATGCAAAGCGACGCCAAATGCCTGCAAATGATAATGAGGGCTTATCGCAGAGCCCACCCTTCGCAGCGGAAGTGAAGCCTGAAACGCAGTCCACATTATCTCTAAACTAAAAAAAAAAAAACAAAAAACAGAAAAAACACTAAAAAGTGAAGAGAAGCTAAGTAGACGGAGAAGCAGAAGGAAGGAAAGGCAGGCCAAAAAGTAAATAAAAATAAAAATCAATCAACAAGTGGTCCAACAGTGGGACCCAACGCACCCAAGGGCTGGGCAAGGCAGGCGGGCAGCCAGAGCAACACAGAGAGAGAGAGAGAGAGAGGGGGCGTGGCTGGTTTTGTTGCCAGCTGCCAATTCGCAAGTGTCGTCTATTTGTTGCGCAAATAACAAACATTGACGTTGTGTAGGGACAGCCAATTGGCTCAGGGCCTTTGGCTAGAAGAAGCACAGGACACGCAGGAAACGCAGGACACACAGGCTATACAGAATGCTTACAGTAACTGTGCTTAAATAATTGATTTAATTAACATTAATGCTAATCATATACACACATCTATGTATATGGCATATAGTAGCAATATAATAATATACATACATATATATACAAAAGATATGATATGAACATAAGCAGCCATAAGCAGCCGTTAGGCACGCACACAGACACACACACGCACATGTAATAAAATAATCATAAATATATAATGATGATTTACCCAGGCAGCAGCCTGGCTGAGTGGATCTGCTGCTGTTTGCCAGGGCCATGCAAATACGCATGCTTTAAGTGCACCAACGGCATTTTAGCCTGGCTAAATTGTAATGAAGCAAACGCAACCACGCCCACTAGCTCCCACTCCCTACTCCCCACACACACACACAGAGATATGCAAAAGATAGCATCGAAGCTGAGAGCAAATAAATTGCTATACAATTTTACCCAAAAGTCGCATCCAAAAACCAAACAGCACGCCAGAGGGTAGTCAGTGGGGGCTGGAGGGGGTGGGCCATGTATGGCTACGCCTGCAGCACAGTTACGTTAGCTGCAGGGGTTGCGGTGTTGGAATGTGTGTCTGCTGGGGAATAGGTAGCGAGGCAGAGGCGGGGCGGGGAGCTGCAAACAGACTGTCGTCATGTCAAGCAATTCAATTCAATTTGGTTTCTCACGCGTTTGTTTGCCAGCTCATGGCAACGTCTTCCACTGCGTCCCCCTTGGCCTACGTCATTGACTGCCCTGATTTGTGTCTGTGTGTATGAGTATACATGTGTGTGTGGGTGTCTGTGTTTATTTTTATTTTTATTTAATTCATTGGCTTTCAAAGTTTTGTAGCTAAACCGTTCTTTTTTTTTTTTTTCTTTTATGCTGGCTGTAAATAACAATTTACGATTTACAATTTACCATTTTACAATTTTACAATTTACAACTTGGCAACAATTTACAGTGGCTGCTGCAAAAGTTCGCACAACTCGCATACATAACAATTTGCAGGCGCATTAAAAAGTTGCCAGATTAATATTTAAACGGGCGAAAACTTATGCACACATATGGCAGCACGAGCACACACACACACACACAATCACACACAGTGAAAGACACAGACGCAAATACGCACAGCGAAAATTAAGCATAAAAGTATGCAACACAGAACTGCACGCAAGAGAATCACACGCATACACGCGCACACACATGCACACACTCACTCACACACACACTGTCATTTCGTTTCATTTTCCACTCATTCCTATTAAGAAATCTTGACACTTCTACTTACTTGCGTAGTCATCTCACATGTTAGCCGCTGCAGTCGCTGGCTGTCGCCGCGCCGTTCTGGTTGTGGGCTGGCGCTGTCAGCGCATTTGAAAATTTCCGCCGTCTGCTTCGGTGGCCGCTGGTTAGCGGCTTTAAAAGTGGCGACATCTACTGTCCATACGTCATCAACATCAACGTCAACTTTAAACAGCGCTCTACCGGGCCGCACAAAATGCCGACGGCTGTTGCTCGCTTCTGCTGTTCCTTTATTCATCTACACACACACACATATTTCTTGCACTCAACTCCCTCTCTCTCCCTTTCTCTCTTTCTAGCTCGTATTGATTGCTTGTCGGCGGCACTCACGCATACACAGGCACAGGCACACTCACATACTCTTCTGACACGCATAAGTAACTGCTAACACAATTTGTAGTCTATGGGTTAACTGTATAACTGTAAAACTGTTAAAGCCAACAGCCTTTGTTGCCATCTATTTGCCGCGCCAAAGAACTGGACACGAGCGAGGTCTGCAGCCAAATGAATCTGAAATAATGAAACTGAGTGAATTTCGCTCGAAAGATGCTGCGAACACGAGCCAACAAAGCACGACACGACCCGACACGACACGAGCGCCCAGACCCGAACCAGAGCCCCACCAAGCGAACACGACAAAGCTGCTGTCCAAAAGCTTCGACTCGACTCGGCTTTTGTCGCACTTGCAGCAGGAGAGAGCGCATACGAATGGCTTGCGCAAGCCGAGGGGAAATGGGCAACGGCCAAAGAGCATCAGCATCGCTGTGAGAGGGGCAATGTAAACAAGGCAACATTGGGATGCTGTGGCTTTTAATTAGCCACCGTTTGCATATTTCAGCAGCTAAGAGAGCTTGCATTAAGAGAACACCAGGCAGACAGACAGATAGAACGGGAGAGAGAGAGCGAAAGAAAGAGAGAGCTTTGCCAAAACCAACTATGTGTGGGTGAGTGTAATAACAAATGCTGCTGATAAGGCTACTGACCTCTGTGCCAGTGTGTGCAGTGGCGTCGTTTGCGCAAGGGGTTGCTGTTGCAGCTGGCTTAGCTTAGCCTGCCACACACACACACACACACACACACAGAGGCAGACACTCACAAATCAGGTTGGCAGCTCGGCTGGCATAACTAAATGCCAATTAAATGCTTTCGAGTGTTTTCTAAATAAGTTGAATTTACACAAATTTCAAATTTACCGCAACTTGCGCTGCTTTTAATTAAATTAATGCATTGCCTACTACAGTCCAACTCTCGTCCTTCCCTCTCTCTCTCTCCGTCTCCTCTCACAGTGCTGCCCATTTAATTGTTGGCATTTTTCTTGTGCTGTCTGGACAAACAGCTGTGCCATCAAGCGCATAGATTACACAACAAACAAAAGCCGCCGCTCAGAGACAAAAGGCAGCAGCAAAGCAAGCTGAGCGAGCGTCCAGCGAAGGACTCTAGCAACGCCGCAGACCCTTGTCCAACTTCGCCTGGTGAAATCCGAGCAGCTTTAATTTGGCCACGTCAAACGCTGAATGAAGGCAAATTTGTCCAGCAGCAACAACAACACATCTACAGATTTGAAAAGCCTACATTTAGGCGCACATATTAATAAAAAAAAAAAAGGAAGACAAATGCAGAGAAGACAACAAAACAAAAATAATAATATAGAGTAAGCATAAAGCAAGTCAAAGTTGACTTTCGGACCTCGTTTGACTCTCGGAAGCACCTACTAATTGCCGCATGGCCTTGATGGCCCAAAGTCTTGCCAACATTGCGTGCCATTTAACCTGTGTATTGCGCTTGAGAGAAATATGGGCTAAAAGTTGAAGAAATTGAGGCGAAAGTGATTTTGACAGAAGCCTTCCAAAGGAAGTATATAATGTGCATATGCTTAAAGCTTAAAGGAGCCTAGATTATTATATATATTTTTATAAAATAAGAGGTATATGTGTATATGAAATTATACAATATATTTTAAACTTGATATACTAAGTATTTGTATTTTTATATTTTTTTTTGCTTATTTATTTTGCTTATTTATTTTTATTTATTTTTATAAAAAAAAATTGTTTAATTTTTTTATAATTATTTTTTTTTTTTATTGAGACTTACTATAAGTTTTATTTCAACAAGTAAATTTAATGACCATATAAAAAAATTAAATTGCAGCCCACAATTTAGACGCTTTGTCGAAATTGCAGCGAAAGTGAATTTGGGAACAGTTTTTCAATGCGTTCTCTGTCTCATGTTGACGCCTGCATTGAACAGCTTGTTGTCCATTTAAAGCGTTAAAGTCTTTCACGCAATTTATAAAACGCTTAGCTGCTGTTTATCTAAACTAGGAAAATGCGATTTTGCGTTTAAGATTAAGGACTTAGGAGGCAAAGAGATAATTGCATTTAGGTGAATCTGAACTATGTTTAGGTCATATATTAATCAAATTATCAGCACTTAAGTAAAGCCGATTTTGAGGATTAGACTGAAGACTTAAGCTAACAAAAAGTTTCGGAATCAAACAGAAGTAGTTGTTTAGTTGCCAGAAACTTTGGTCAGAAAGAAAATCAAGGCAGACGGAAAAGGTAAACTGTGTTAAGAGAACATCAAATGTTGCGCAAGAAAGAACAATAATTCAAACGCATAATTTAATCAATTACCAAGCAGAAAAAGAATGTATACATCCATATATATGTATGTATATACATTTTTGTTGGTTTTTCCTCAGCACCCAAAAAAAAAAAGTGAAGAAGAGGAAGAAAATGAAGCGCAAGTTCAATCTCAGTTCGACAGCATCAAGTTTCGCACAGTTTCTCAGCTTTGCAGTGCACGTAGTTTATGTTTTTTTCGCTCGCTTTCCCTCGCTTTCATATGCGACACACACACAGTCACACACACATACCCGATGGAAATAGAGCTTCGGAATGATTAATGACCATTTTGCGTTACGTTTTTCCATTGTTGTTGCTGATGGGAACTTGGCTTGTCAACAGAGCGTCGCACAGTTGTCGATGGCAGAGCGCAACGTAGATGAGAAATCGTCAGCAGAAGATGAGATGAAGATGATGAAGAAGACGAAGAAGAAGATGTGGAAGCTGTAGTGGAAGCAGCAGTAGTCGAAGAGGTAGAGCACAAAGTAAAACTAAGTAAAAGCCAAAAGTTTGCCTGCAAATGAAATTTGATTTCAGCGCCAAGGGCTCGGCACGAGCAACAACTCGAGTTACACGAATTCCTGCATCCTGCATCCTGCATCCCTTCAGACATCCTGCAGCCTGTTCGACAGCAGGCGCCGCAAGTTGATTGACTAACCTTCGCATTGGCAACTCATCGGCAGCCAGGCTGCACAAAGAGCATGCGACAACAGGCGGCGCAATTTCCCTCACGGATTATCCAGTGTGGAAAAGCGAATCGAGAACAAAAATAAAAAGTAAAGCGATGAAATAAAAGCTGAAACAGCAAAACTGCAAAAAATTGACTGGCAAAGTGTTGATGATGTTTGATACTGATTGCTTTAGCAGATCTCTATGATAAGGCAGAAGCTGAGGCAGTCGCCATTACCGATGCTGTGCAACACTGCAGCCGTGTGGGACGCTTGGCAACACTGCCAGCCACACGAGAAAGTCACAGGTTTGTCGACCAAAACTTTGTTGGGGCATTTTTGATGTGGTTTGCCCACATGTTTTCTCTCGCTCTCCTCTCTCTCCCGCTCTCACTGTAAAGTGGCTTGATCCTTTCGAGTCCTGGGGTCCTTTACAGTTAAACGAGCCGTCGCAGCGACCAAATGACAAATGAAAAATGAAAATGCTTTTCAGGCATATTAAAAAGGATTTGCCGTACGCCAGATAAATGTGCCTAGGCGCAACGCATTACTTAAATTAATTTTCACACAGAAACAGAGAAAGAGACAGAGAGTGAGTGTGAGGGAGACAGAAAAGGGACAACTGCTAGAGGAAAGCGGCAACTTTTTAAATATTTAAATGAGTCGAGCAGCAATACAAAAGATGAAAACAAATAGATGGCCAACACGTCGAACGACGCATTAAACATGCGCAAATATTTGCGCTGAGCTGTGCCAAAAAGGATATGCAGTGTACACCTGGCGCAGCAAGGATAACGCGCAAATTATGTCAAAAGCTGTGCAAATATAAACAAACAAAAGCAAAAGTGTAAAAAAAAAAATAAGAGAAACAACAAACGAACTTACCCAGTTACTTCTTTTATTTTCGCTTCTCTCGTCTTTTTTATTTTTGTATTATTATTATTATTTTAATTAGCAAGGACCTCGACGCTAGCCAGTTGCGCATTTGCTGTAATGTACATGTAAAAGGATAACATATTTGCGATTAGCTTTTGACAACGTTTGTTTGAGTGTGTGCATAAAGAGGTGTTTATGTGTGTCGGTGTGTGAGTGTGTTTTAAAGTGTGCCAAACAGGTTGCGCCTGGCTGCGCTTTAAAGTGGGCATAGAAGCTGAGTTGGGGTTGAGTGAGGTGTGGGCGAGGGCGTGGGCGTGGCTGCGCTGCCGTTGACAAAAATCTTTTGTGGTTGCCTCTAATTAAAAAGCGACGCGCTTTGGTGAGTAAGCAAGAGAGAGCGAGAGAGAGAGAGAGAGAGGGAGCGAGAAAGGCAGATTGTGTGGGCTGCAGCAGCAGGCGCAGCAGTCTTTGCCTTGCCTCAATGAAGCGCGCTATAGAAAAAATCAACGGCAAAAACTATTGCATACTTTTGCGCGCAGCGCATATTTCGCCACGGCATAATTAATTAAAAATATCTGACATGCAATAATAAATTTTCGCCCAGTCCACGTGTATGTGTGTGTGTGTGTGTGTGTGCCTCTGTGTCTATGTATTTCTGCATCTACCTTGCAACCAATCTGTGCCACTCGCTCACTTAGTCTCTCCGTCGCTTCTAGTTCGTGTTAAATGCCCCAAAGTGCAAAAGTTTTAAATAAATGAATATGGGTGTATGTGTCTATGTGTGTGTGAGTGTGTGTGTCTGAAAGCCAAGGCAAAAACATAACTGACATCATTAGCAAACTTTAATACACTTTGCGCCCAGCGGCAGGCACTCAGGCAAAAATAAATAAACCAAACGAAATGAAACCGAATTAAAACCAAATGAAATGAAATAAAATGAAAAGTGTGTGCTTAAACAATATACAATGAAACAATATATACATATGCACATATATAAATATATGCATATGTATATTTATGCTCTTTAGATGCAGGCGAATGTTTGCCATACAGCAAACTTCCGGCTAAACAGCATTTTGCAACACTGCTCATTCACAAGTTTCTATTAACAAAGTTTGCAAAATTCTATTAAAATTTTTTTCGTCTTGTTAAAAAAGCTCGAATGTATTGGCTTTAATATCTGACATTGTATTTGAGCATTTGACAACACTAATAAAGCTAACTTCAAGCTACTCATCTAAATTAAATTTTTAGCAAATTTGTAGCTAGGTAAGCATTATAAAGGACATTTTAAGCATTTACAACACTAATTCAACTGAATTTTTAACCACACTTAAACATGCACATAGCGGTAAAATGTTAGAGCTCCTTACTAAGTTCATAATTTATATATACTCCTATATTAGCCTTGAGCTCCAAGCAAACACTTTTAATGAATAACATTAACCAACACTAAATTAAGCTTTAACACTTATTTACATAGTGCAGATTCATATAAAATTAGCTAGCAATTACTTTTATCAAAATGTTTACCCAACACTCACATTTTTCTTAGCTCTATACAGTCTCTTGCAACACTAACAACACACTTGATAGTCACTTTTTTGCCCATATTAATTTAATTTAATTTTTATTTTCATGTGCAAAAATTGATGTGGAAAACAATTTAAACTTTGCACATTTGTTTCAAATATGCAGTCCGCTCTGCGCCCAACTCAAAAGTGGGCTTATGCAAAAGCAAAGCCGGAGCATTGGCCAAGTGGCTTAGATTTGGATGCCACAAGCAGAGATAGATAGAGAGAGAGAGATAGAGTGAGAGAGAGAGAGAGAGACAGAGTGAGAGAGAGAGAGAGAGAGAGAGAACGAGCCACAAACAAGTCGAGTTCGAGCTCGAGTCGAATCCATGACAAAGTTTGTGCGCCAGTTGAAGGTGGCAAGAACTATGTGGGATTAGACAATTTGTATGCCAAGCGCTGTGGGTCGCGGCATGTGGTTGTGTGGTTATAACTCCAAGCGAACCACCACCAACACCAACAGCCATCCAGCCATCCAGCCAACCAACCAACAGCACCACCGTCCGCATTAAGCCACAACTGATGTTTACATTTTAAACTAAGGCAAGGCAAGCCAAGGCAAAAGTTTGTCCTGACGCAGAGACAAGGTCCTGTGCCTGTGCTTGTGCCTGTGCCTTTTTCACGTTTCGGCATAAAATTTAATGCATATAATATTGGCTAATGATGTTTACAATGCGCGCGGGCTTAGGCGGGCATTAAAATTGTCGAGCCAGTGCCAGTCGTGCCACCTGCTGCTGGTGCTGCTGCTGTTGCTGCTGCTGCTGCGCCCAGACTTTTCCACCTCAGCCACAAAAAAAGCTCACTGAGTCATTTCTCGATTTCCCTGGGCTGATGCTGATGTAACCGAGTTGGCAATTAAGACAACTGTATGCTCAATATGCCAGAGCCCAGTTG